TGATCGGATAAACAACATGGCCGACAGGCAGCCATCTTGGAATTTGATAGTGTAGGTTTGTTATCGATATTTCTCCGGAAGAACTAGAGGGATATTTCTTAAATTTTATATGTAGGTTCCCCTTGGTCCTAGCTGTGCAGGGCAATTTTAGAGACTGATCGGATAAACAACATGGCCAACAAGCAGCCATCTTGGATTTTGATAGTGAAAGTTTGTTTTGCTATTTCTCGGGAAGTACCATAGGGATCTTTCTCAAATTTTAAATGTAGGTTCCCTTTGATCCCTCGTTGTGCATGTTATATTTTGAGACTGATCATAAAAACAAATTGGATTAAAAGAAGAACTAAACAGATCTTTCTCATATTGCAATGATCGATTCTATTTCTTTCACATTAAGTACTGTACTAGTAAATATGTGAAATGACAAACTCACTTTGAAGGTTGGCTTTCATACACATCAGTTTTAAGTTTAGATCAAAAGTTACCTCAAGGTGCATTTACTGTTAACATGACTCGATCAAACAGATTAGAGGAAAGAAGAGAAAAGATCGAACTGACAAAGAACTAATGAAGATGGTACAAAGGTGGGCGCCAAGATCCCTCTGGGATCTCTTGTATTTATTGTACAAGCCCACAGGCAGATTTAAAAATAAATAAATGTTATTACTTAACCTGGCTTATGTTTTCTTAGGAACTATTTACATTTGTTCCAAGCCATAATATAAAATTTACTTGGCCTGTCTAGCTATTAGAATTGTGTATTCCTGAAGACATTTGAGTGATTGTGTCATTATTATGTATTTGTTATAGTGGAAAGGAACATCCCGCCCCCAGAAAATCAAGGAACGTCCATCTACTGGCCTGCTGAAGCACATCCTCCAACAGTGCTATGACCATGCAGTAAAAGATCCGGAGAGGCTTAACCAGTATGAGCCCTTCTCTCCCGAGGTATGTTCTCTTATCCTTACTGTGAGCTCTCATTCATAATCTTAGGAATATTTAAAAAAATCGTAAACAGGGAACAAGGAAATTAAGATTGAGATCCTCAGAAGATGTAATGACTTTGTCTTATCATACCCTCACAAGGTAGTATTTATTGCCCCATTTGTACTTGTAGTATTTGCATTCTGTTCACAGGCAACTCTTTCTGAAAGTCCCTCCTAAGTTTTCATGCTATTTCTTTGAAACTGGGGCTGGTATTCATTAAACTGCTGTCACTCCAATGAATTTCTTAGTAATAAAAACTTGTTAAATGTGATACTATATAATATTTTGTAGGTTTGTGTAGCTAGATCTCATTTCCAGTTTAGATGTTTTACTTTGATCCTTTCACAAAAAAACAATCTGAGCACATGACTCAAAGTTCAAGCTTCAGAAAAGTTTTTTTATGATTACAGACCCATGTTGCATATTTATCAAGCTTACTGCTCCCTAAGAGCGTAACCAGGCGCTACACGAACTGGCACCCATCCTTTGGTTAAATTACAGTTAAAATTTGCTACTTCAAAATTATTGGCACCAGGACAACAGTTTGAGGTAAGGTGTCATTCATGATCCAAGAAAATAAAATGCACTTCAATATCTGGTAGGGTTGTAGCTGGAAATAAACTTAGTGATTTGATAGTTCTTACTTCAAGGTATATAAAGAGATTCCGCCGAAGTTACAGATTGCTCAGAATCATGATTGGTAGCGCATTATTTTACTCTTTACTTAGGTGTATGGAGAAACATCATTTGATCTGGTGGACCAGATGATTAAATCCATCAACTTCTCAGAAACCGACTACTTTATAGACCTTGGCAGTGGTGAGTTCAATATGCACAGAAACATAGCCCTGGTTCAATAGAAGTTAAATGATGTAGAACATTAGATCCTAAACAGTAAAACCTTGATACATGTGTTACTAGATTATATTTTTTATATAGAATCATTGTCGATACGTTAATTTCCACACTGCCATTAATCTGAAGAGTCACAACATGAAAATTTGCGGGCACAGGAATCTTCACTTTAACAGTAGAAAATTTTCTGAAAATTGCAATTTATCCCATTAATTATGACTGATATAATTAATATCAATATAAGCTAAAAGGAAAAATGTCTATGGATCGTTGACACTTAATTTTTGAATGAAGAAAAAAACATGCAGGGATGTGTAACTTGGGGTGGCATTTACATTCATGTATTGACATTGATGTTTGTGTTTCAGGAGTCGGACAAGTTGTCCTGCAGGTGGCCGCAGCAACATCCTGTAAAATGTGCTATGGTATTGAAAAAGCAGAGTATCCAGCTAAGTATGCTGAGGTAAGTAGTATCTCAGACACATAGACACATATATACAATAGTACTCCGTACCATCAATAGACAGTGCTGTGATCTCAGACACATATATACAATAGTACTCCGCACCATCAATAGACAGTGATGTGATCTCAGACACATATATACAATACTCCGCACCATTATTAGACAGTGCTGTGATCTCAGACACATATATACAATACTCCGCACCACCAATAGACAGTGCTGTGATCTCCGACACATATATACAATAGTACTCCGCACCATCAATAGACAGTGCTGTGATCTCAGACACATATATACAATAGTACTCCGCACCATCAATAGACAGTGATGTGATCTCAGACACATATATACAATACTCCGCACCATTATTAGACAGTGCTGTGATCTCAGACACATATATACAATACTCCGCACCATCAATAGACAGTGCTGTGATCTCAGACACATATATACAATACTCCGCACCA